ACACACACACACACACACACACACACACACACACACAATTTCTATTGTAACATCATGCACATTCTGTTATAATGTTCTTTATTGTTCTTCCAAGTGGTAAAAGTTTCCAGTTTATAGACTCTTCCTTCCCTCTCTATCGCCACCATCTCTCCCCAGCCCTACTCCTGTCCAAGGCCCCCATTACCACATTCTCTCTCTGGGCCTGCAACTGCATTGAGTAGACGCACCCAGGTAGAGAGAACCTCCCTGAGTCTGAAAATACCTCACTCTTCCTTCCCCCTCCACTATCCTACCACTACTGAATGAGGAGACTACCAGGAAAGGAAAGACCTTCCTTAGCTCCACACATTGAAGACTTGGCCAACACTTACAACCAGGTGAAAAAGGGAGATAGAGAGACCCCACCTGAACCCACTGGACTAAGAGATGGGAAGAATGCAGAATAAGAACACTCAACAACAGAAAGACCAATATGACACCACCAATATCTAGGGACTCTAACCAGCAAGTACCAAAAAACACAACACAGAGGAAGAAGAGACAAACTGAAAAATCTACTTTATGAAGATGTTTGAGACTCATAAAGAGGAAACAAGAAAATCTCTTAAAGAAATGGAAGGAAGAACAACCAAAAGAATTAAAAAAAAATCAGTAATTCTCTTAAACAATCCAAAGAAAAAGCAACCAAATAAGTGAAAGAAGCACTTGAAACTGTTCAAGGCATGAAAGCTGAAATAGAAACAATAAAGGAACACACAATGAGGGGATGCTGGAAAGAGAAAGGCTGGATAAATGATCAGGAGCTAAGGATGTGAGTATAACCAATAGAAAACAAGAGATGGAAGGGAGAACCTCAGTTGTCGACGACTCACTAGAGGATTTACAGTAATCCACCAAAGAAAATCTCAAGTCCAACATATCCCTAACACAAAATATCCAGGAAATATGGCACACCGTGAAAAGGCTGAACCTAAGAATAATAGGTATAGAAGAAGCTGAAGAAATACAGCTCAAAGGTACAGAAAACATATTCAACAGGATCATAGAAGAAAACTTCCCCAAACTACAGAAGGATATGCCTATAAAAGTCGAAAAGCTTACAGAACACCAAATAGACTGAACCACAAAATGAAGTCCCATCTCCACATAATTATCAAAACCCCAAACCTTCAGAATAAAGAGTAAATATTAAGAGCCACAAAGGGAAAAGGTCAAGTGATGTGTAAAGGCAGACCTATCCAAATTACACCAGACTTCTCAATTGAAACTTTGAAAGCCAGAAGATGTTGGATAGATGTCTTACAAACACTAAGGGAACATGGATGCCAACACAGACTACTGTACCCAGCAAAGCTTTCAATCATTATAGATGGAGAAAACAAGCTATTTCATGACAAAATCAGATTTACACAATACATATCCAACAACCCAGCACTACAGAATGTTCTGGAGGGAAAACTCTAACCCAACAAAATAACTGCTCTCACAAAAACATAGACAACAGATAATCCAACTTTACCAGACACAAAATGAAATATTAGGGTGAAATATCACACTATGACACGACCAACAATAAATCCAAAACAAACAAGAACCAACAATCAATGAACACGAATATGCCTCAGCGTCAATGGTTTTCACCTGCCTATAAAAAGATACAGGCTAACAGAATGAATATGAAGACAGAATCCATCTTCTGTATACAAGAAACATACCTCAACTTCAGAGAAAGGCGTTACCTCAGAGTAAAGGGTTGGGAAAACATTTTCCAATCAAACGGACCCAAGAAACAATCTTGTGTAGCAATCCTAATATCTAACAAAGTAATTTTCAAGCAAAAATCAATCAAAAGATATGAAAAGGGAATTTATACTTATCACAGGAAAAGTCCATCAAAAAGTAGGTACCAGGCTGGTGCAACCCACAGAAACAGCTGGCATGAACAAGGAGGAGCACATCGACCCCAGACTGCTGTCTGGGAGGCCAGAGCAAGACAGTTCCAGATTGTTGAACATGGATGTCAATGAGGTGGTGTCTGCAGTCTATGCAGATGCTGGGAATGGATCAGTATTTTTCCCAGTTGTAAGGAGGGAATTTGAGATCCCATCCCACGTGAATGGATGCTCTCTTGGCCTGAACAAATGGGGAGGGCCTAGGCCCAGCCCAGGATGATGTGCTGGACTTTGGGGAAACCCCATTAGAGGCACTAACCTGCCTGGGGAGAGGAGGGGGGATGGGTGGGGGCAAGTGTGGTGTTGAGTGGAAGGTTGAGGGGAAGGGGAGGAAGAGAAAGGATTGATATGTGAAACAAGCTTGTTCCTAATTTGAACTAATAAAACATGTGGTTAAAAAAATAGATGAAGTCTCAATCCTGAACATCTATGCCCCAAATACTAAGGCACCCACATTTGTAAAAGAAATATTACTAAAACTCAAACTACACATAAAACCACACACACTTATAGTAGGAGACTTCAACACCCTGCTTTCAACACTAGATATAAACACCGGAAGAAACTTAACAAAGAAACAAAGGATCTAATAGAAGTTTTGACCCAATTGGGATTAATAGACATCTATAGAACATTCCATCCAAACTCAAAAGAATTTACCTTCTTCTCAGTGCCACATGGAACCTTCTCTAAAATTGACCACATACTTGGCAACATAGAAAACCTCCACAAATACAAAAAATTGAAAAAAGCCCCTGTATCTCATCAGACCACCATAATTTAAGATTAGAATTCAACAGCAATACAAATTGCAGAAACCCTAAAAAGTCATGGAAATGAAATAACGCCCAATTGTACGACACCTGGGGTGAGGGAGAAATAAAAAAAAAGAAAATTAAAGACTTCCTAGAATTTAATGAGAATGTAGACACCACATGCCCAAATTTATGGGATACTATGAAAACAGTACTAACAGGAAAGTTCATAGCATTAAGTGCCCACATGAAGAAACTGGAGAATAGTCACACTAGAGAATTAACAGAACAACTGAAAGTTTTAGAGCAAAAAGAAGCAAACCCACCACTCAGGAGTAGATACCAGGAAATAATCAAACTGAGGGCTTAAATTAGTAAAGTAGAAACTAGGAAAACATTACAAAGAATCAATGAAATAAAGAGTTGGTTCTTTGAGAAGATAAACAGTAGCCTTACTACACATCGACAATAAGAGGGCTGAGAAAGAAATCAGAGAAACATCTCCCTCTGACTCTTTAAAGAAAGAAATTAACAAAGATACCAGAAAATGGAAAGATCTCCCATGATCTTTGATAGGTAGGATCAACATAGTAAAAATGGCAATCTTGCCAAAAGCAATATACAGATTCAACACAATCCCTATCAAAATTCCAGCACAATTCTTCACAGACCTTGAAAGAAAAATACTCAACATTATATGGAGAAACAAAAGACACATGACAGCCAAAACAACCTGTAAAATAGGGGAAATTCCTGAGGCAT